CTCTGGCTGGGCACACATCTGGGGATCAAACCAGCAACCTGGGCATGTGCCCTGACTGGGAATCTAACCAGCAACTTTTTGTGCACAGGACAACATTCAACCAACTGAGCCACATCAGCGGGCTCAACTCCCTCCATTTTAAGTGACTCTCTTAGCAATGTTTATTCCATTTTATTCTCTCCATTCTCAAAACACAAGAAAGCAAAAAAGTAACACCCAGTTCAATTAAAAATTAAATTAACAAATTACATAAAATACTGGAATGTGTAGAATTAACCAAAAAAGATGGAAGAACCAATTCCAGATATATTGGTAATCACATAGGTGTAAATGGGTTAAACTCGCCAAGTAAAACACAAACATTAGGCTTGGCCAGGTTGCTCAGTGGTTAGAGTGTTGTCCTGACATACCAAGGTTTCGGGTTTGACCCCTGGTCAAATCACATACAAGAATCAACCAATGAACCAATCAATTAAGTGGAACAATGCATTGATGTTTCTCTCTTTCTTTTCCTCTCTCTCTGATGTATAAAGTGGTAAAACTGCCATTTTCTAGAGCATTTTTTCAATCTGATGAGATTTTGTTCTCAGCAATTGTTATCAGTTTGGATGAAATAAACTCATAAAAATTCTTACAAGTTTGAATTTTTCTTGCATTGACACACTGTACAGAGAAACCTCTAGGCCCAAATGGCATGGCTTGTGCTAAAATCCCATGATACCGACCCTAGATTTAATACCTGATTTGATTGTGGTCTCAGCCTCTTCTGGAAATTGAATCAGAATCAACCAATTTGGAATTTTCTGGTCGGGCACCGGTAAAGCAATCTGTCCTGCAGGCTCCTTCCCCGACCTCCTCCCCATAGAAAGAAGAGGCAACCGGCATGACAAAAAGCCTTGCTGTTGCCTTTCTCTCCCCCAAACCCAGGTCCTGATCTAAAAAATAATCCTTTCTTTTCTTTGGTTAAGAGCTCTCCTGCCCTACCCTTTTCCCTATAAAACACCTTTCATTTTGTATAATCCCTCAGAGTGCTGTGGACAAAAGGGGCCACATGCTAATCTGACAAGCTCAGGGGTGGTCTGCATGGCAGTCTGGCAAACTCAGAGACCTAAAGTAACCACAAAGGATGGTCTGAAATTATTGTAACCTTCCCATGTCCCCTCCTTTGATTGCAATGTATAAAAATAGATAAAACATGGCCATTCTTTGGAGCATTATCCCAGTCCGTTGAGAATCTGCTTCCCAGAAATTGTCGACAGTTGGGCTCAAATAAGCTCACAAAAATTCTTTACAGGTTTGAATGTTTTTATGTTAACATTGCCCTTGTACTTGCTGGACGAGATGTTGCCCGATTCATTAATTCCTTAATAAAGCCAAGTAGATCTTCAACTTTACTAGGTTGAATTTTGTTTTTTAATAAATGCAAGGGGCAGTGTGTTAGGGTTCTCCAGAGCTGCTTGCATTGGAGGGGTTCCCCCCCACACCCCACCCTGGATCGTGTCACGCTTTTGAGAAAGAATTCAGGGGAGTGACAAAAAGCAGTGTTGAAGCAAAGCAAGAACATTTATTAAAAATACACTTGGAATAAAGCACAAGTTGACAACTCAGTTAGTCTCAGTGCCCCAGCTGGTGGGGTTTCAAGGGTTTTATATTTTCCCTTCTTCTAGGTTTCAAGATTCCCCTGCTGGAGATCTTGGGCAAGAGACTAGATTTCCAGGTCCCCCTTTTACATTGTTGTGGCTTTCCCCCAAATTTATGAGAACATTTGGCAATTTTATCTTGGAAAGTCCCAAGATTGCTGACTTCTCCATTCAGTGGGTGAGAAAAATGCCCTCTTCCCCCACCCCTTCTTCCCCTCCTGCCCTAGCAGCCATCTATCCTGCCTAACAATACCATACAACCCAACAACTTTGGGTTGTGACCCTTTAGTCCAGCGGTTCTCAACCTGTGGGTCGTGAACCCTTTGGGGGTCAAACGACCCTTTGACAGGGGTCGCCTAAGACAATCGGAAAACACATATATAACTACATATTGTTTACAGTAGCAAAATTACAGTTATAAAGTAGCAACAAAAATAATTTTATGGTTGGGGGTCACCACAACATGAGGAACTGTATTAAAGGGTCGCGGCATTAGGAAGGTTGAGAACCACTGCTTTAGTCAGTGATAACTTCAATTTAGTCAGTCACAGTCAATATGTTAGAAAGAATAAAGAACAGTATTTATCAGAGTGTATCTCATCTAGATTTTGGCAAGACTTCCATTTATATGCCTGAAGTCCTATATATCCTGGTTCCTTATAAAATGTATTTCTTACCATGGATCTTGGTTAAAAAGGTTTAACAACCTCTGCTTAGAGAAGACTCCAGGTGCACTAGGAGGCTTGTGTGAGGATGCTCATGGCAACTTTGTCTGTAATGCAACCCACTGGGAACACCCCAATGTCCACTCACAGGAGAGATGATTAAACTGTGCTACAGTCCACATGATGTGAATGAACACGAATCCACAAGGAACCCAATACTGGGCAAACATCATCAAGGTGTGCAGTGTGAGACGCTTGTTTCTGATTTTACCACATTCAAAAAATGCAAACGGAATATGTATATGTTGTTTAAGGGACACATTTATACGCAGGAAATATTTTCTAAGAGCAAGACAATCATGGGCACAAAATTCAGGAGATTGGCTACAACTCCCCATGCCACACAATGAGGATGCGAAGGGCCCTCCCCACTCCACCCACCCTTTGCCCAGGATGTTACAGCCACAGGGGGTGTCAGTGAGAGAATCTTATTTGGGGCTTTGGAGGGGGTAGCACGCTGGTGCCAAAAAATGGGCCTCTCCACACCCAGGCAGTGGTGGATTTGGGTTTCCACTTGGTCTGGGATGTGTTTCTGAACTGGGAGAAGGGGGAGGGGGAGAGGGAGGGCGAGGAGCAAGCAGGCACCCTGTTCCCCGTGTGGGGCATGCGCCTCTGATGACACGTTTTGCCTGGTTCCATCTGCTTAGAGGTTGCTGGAATCATTGGTGTGTTCTGGTCATGGTCAGTCCCGGTGTTTGGGTCTCCTTGGAGCTCCTCCCTCCTTCTGTCTCTCCATCCCTCCTCGCCCCACACCCCCCTGACCCTGCTGTTCCTCTCTCCTCTTCTCTCAGCCCTGAGACTTGGTGACTTATGACCGTGGCGCTGACCGTGGCCACCACTTCAAAAGAATGTTCTTTACGTCTGCTTAGAGGTTGCTGGAATCATTGGTGTGTTCTGGTCATGGTCAGTCCCGGTGTTTGTGTCTCCTTGGAGCTCCTCCCTCCTTCTGTCTCTCCATCCCTCCTCGCCCCACACCCCCCTGACCCTGCTGTTCCTCTCTCCTCTTCTCTCAGCCCTGAGACTTGGTGACTTATGACCGTGGCGCTGACCGTGGCCACCACCGAATCCTTCTGACTCTGCATGTGGACTTCGATTTCTCTCTGGCTGGTTTCCAGGCCTATGTGTCTACCTGGCCTGTACCTTGGCCCTGCATTGAACAAAGGGCAGATTTTGTGTGACCTTTGATTTGCATTTTTATTTTAAAAAATGTATGTATTCATTAGTAGCATATGGTAATACATGCTAAACCTAAATGTGAAGAACATGACCCTCCTCTCACTGAGTCATTACCTCGCAGGTCACCTGGACACATGTCTCACAGAGGAGCACATCCTGCGATGTGTGGCTTTAAATATAGGTATTTGTCTTCCAGGAAAGGGTCGGAGGGAAAACAAAACTATTGATCATAGAAGGCTGGCCCCCGAGGCAGCAGCACACAGACATACCTGCACAGGAGGATGGCTCTGGTAAGTGCCCAGAAAGCTTTTATTTCAAACACCGCAATCCTGTTAGTGGAGATGATGTGGGTGTCCTTGCTGGGCTGCAGCTCTGGAACAGAGGGGCACGGGGCCTGCTGAGGCCTGAGGGTCCGCTACCCGGGGTGGGAGGGCTCCCCAGAGCTTCCTGAGGAGGCAGGAATGGTGGGCTCAGGGTGGGCAGCCTCTGCCCACTGCCCAGTCCTACCTCCTCAGTCACATTGTCCTGCGTGGCTGGGAGGAGCTGGGGAGGGAGGGACAGGAGAATGGCTCCCAGCAGTGTGGGGCCGAGGCAGGGGCTGCAGGAAGCCGTTCTTGTCCACCCTCCTCTCCAAGCAGCTCACCTGTTCCCTCTGCTTTTCTTTCTATCCCTCTCTTCCCTTCCACATGTTGCTCCTTCCTTCTGGCTCCATAACAGTCACATTTCCGAAAGCTCGCTGCATCCCGACACCATGCAAAAGGCTTTTATTTAACCTCTGCTACAAATATGTGAGCACATCTTCCTTGCTAGCTCTCCCCCCACCAAACCCACATGGAAACCTAACATTAAGGTTAAAGTCCCCTGCACCGCCCCCCCCGCTTCTCATCCCCCCATCCCACCCCCAGCTCTCAGTCCCTCCTCTGTTGTGGCTCACTCCATGTCCTGCCAGGGGTTTTCCAGTTCTTTGCATATAGAAGTGTAGCCACCTTTAAGTGTTGTTTTGTGGCTTTGGGTTTTGCTGTCATTCTTAACTTGGTTGTCTGAGTACAGTTCACTTAGGAAATGCTTGAATCTTTTCATTTACTAGTTTTTGAAATTATATGGTGATTCTTTTGCAACCTCCAAAGGTGACTAACACATATTAAAAGTGTCATTATGAACACATTGATGTCATTATTCACATACCTGATATGTGTTTTTTTGATGCTCAAATTGTTCCATCTTTGGTCAAGTTGATGCCTGACGCTTGTAATCAAGAGCCTTTCTCTTCCCCTAACCGGTTTGGCACAATGGATAGAGCGTCAGCCTTGGACTCAAGGGTCCCGGGTTCAATTCCGGACAAGGGCATGTACTTTTTAAAAAGATCTTTTCTCTCAACCATGTCTCCCCAGCAGCCTTCCGGTTGGCAGCCATCCTCTCTTCACCCAGCAACAGCCACCCACCCTGGTCACGGTGGTCTGGCCCCAGTGACCGTTTTCAGCTGATTCAGGGGAGGAGAGGTGCTGGCTGGCCTCGGAGCGATCCTAAAATAGAACCTGTGTGATATGGGCGTCTCTCGCATTCCCAGTGGGATGAGGGCAACATTCTCCCTGCTCATGCAATCTCCAGAAGGGCGCTGCCCTGCCACCAACTCCAGTCACACCCTGGGTCCCCAGCTGGGTCTTGGCCTGGCGCCCAGACTTCAGCGGCCCCCCCCCCCCCGGGATGCTCTGGGGTTTTAAGGGCGCAGCGTTGGTAACATGCAGACCTAGGTTTGATCTTTCTCTCTGTTCACTGGGTAAGGATCTTTGCATGTTACCCAACCTTCCTGAGACTCAGTCTTCTCATCTGTCAAATGGGGTCATGACAGTTTGTGGTCAAAGGAGTGATGGATGTGAAATGTGGGCATGTTGAGCACCGTGTCTGGCTGTGCAGGTTGGGGCTCTATCACTCAGAATCACTCAGGCCCGGCGCAAGGTGGGGGTCTTTGATGGGGCATTTGAGACTTCCTGGGAGTCATATATTTACTCACTGGCAACAACATGCTCTGGCATAACATGTGCTCATGCCCATGTCTGCACACCCATGGCTCGGCCACACCCCCGTGCTACACACGTGCCCACACCTCCCCTCCAGACACCCTGTCCATCTCTTCTTTGTCCCCCAAAGAGCTCACTTCCAGCTCAGCAGCCCCAGTAAAGGAGGGGCTTTGCATCTGTGCGAGGAGAGCACCTTCTTGCATTTCCTTCAGGAGATGATCAGAGGGAGCTTGCAGGCTGGGCTGGGGCTCCTTACAGGTCAGGTTCTAGAATGTTCCCTGTGAGGACTAACCTCAGTCTGCTTCCGGTTTTTCAGTCACAGGCTGAACCGAAACCTGGAGACCTGATTGAGATTTTCCACATACTAGGCATCGCGCACTGGGCCGTCTACGTGGGGGATGGCTACGTGGTGCACCTGGGACCTCCAAGTAAGGCTGGTTCTCCGGTGAAGCTCAGGGCAGAGGTGGGAGTGTCAGCGGCTGCACACTTGTGTGCTGTTCTCACCCAGTGCCCGGATGGTGGGCTCTCCCTGGCCATTGGCTGCATGATGTTCCCTGGTAGGTCTGCAGCTGCTCCTCTTCCTCAGCAGCGAGTTCGTGGAGGACGGACTGTTGGCCTTTGTTCCAGGTGACACTGGGGTTCACTTCCAGCCAACCCACTGTCCCAGGGAAGCACCCCGTTGTGTGTGCTCGATGTTCTGGGGGCAGATGAGTAGGACACAGCGTCCAGCTGGCTCAGAGGCATGGAAGGAGCGAGGGCCTCCCACTTAGCAGCACCCGTTTGGGGTCCTGGGGCCTCCGCTTGCCGAGCTGGTACTTGCCCGTGTGACTTGCCCCCTGAGCTCAGCTGCACCCTCTGTACAGCAGATGAGAACCCCACCTCCCGGTCGTGCAGGGTGGGATGCAGGACAGCACAGGGGAGCCCGGGCGAGGCCTGGCAGGTGCTGGGCCAACCTCCCTTCCCTCCCAGAGCTTCGTGGCATTAAAGCAAAGGCCGAAAGTTTGGAATCCACTCAACAGCAGGGAATTCGCCAAATAAAATCGGTGCCTGCATTTCATGGCTGACGGTGCCACCGTTACAAACAGCTGTACAGCAGGTGTGGGCACACACATGTGAATTTTAAAGAAAAAGCAGGCTTTAAAAAATTAGGCTTAGTGAGGAGGAATAACTTACTGCTTTATGTTTTTGTTAATCCTCATCTGAGGATATTTTTTTCATTGATTTTTAGAGAAGGAAGAGAGAGAGAGACAGAAACATTCAATTTGAGATATTTCCCTCTCTCCCCTGCTCTGTGAACATGACGATGATCCAACCAACTGAGCCACACTGGCCAGGGTCAAATGCCCTTTTAAAAAGAAAATAAGAACTGGTGAAGTAAAGTGTAGACAGACACACACACACACACACACACACACACACACACAGAGTCAGTGAATGCAGAAGCTGGTCACTGGATGAGCTGGCTGTTCAGAGATTGACGTCATACCAACAAGCTTTCTATAAGCCCAGCTCCTTCCGACAGGTCCACTGGCCCCTCCCTGAGGGCTCCAGGGCCCATCACTCACCTTCTCCTGTCAGCTTTCCCAGAAGCCTGGGTGAGGCAGGAGGCGGGCGTCCTGTTAGGGGCCAATCTGAGAATTCAGAGCTGGGAGAGTGTGGCCACCACCTGACCCAGGCCCTTCCATCTGTAGTGCTGACAGCCCCTGAGAGGAGAAGGGACTGGCCTGAGGCCACACGGTGGGCGGTGCTCTGGGTTTGCAGGTCAGGCCTGGGCTTGCCCAGCAGCCTCCTTTCCTACTATTGGAAACATGTCACCCCGGCCGCTGAGGGCCCGCCCCGCTCTGGCTGGGCAGCACCTGGGGTCTGTGCCCCGTACCCTCTGCCCCTCCTGCGTCTTTCAGGGACGTCTGAGCCCACAGGGGCCTTTAGAGAATCCACATCCTCGGCTTTAGAAATGAGGAGCCAGAGTCCAGGGGCAGCTGTGACTTCTCCAAGGGCACCCAGGCGGGTCGGCCTGTGTTTGAGTTTGAAGCCAGGCAGGGGGCCGGCCTTTCCCCAGCTCATCCTCACTGATGAAGAACAGGCCAGTGGGCTGCCTGCTTGCCTGCTCTCAGCCCCGACCATCAGCCTCTTTCCTCTTTGGGAACCACAGGTGAAATCGTGGGAATTACGTTGGCCAAACTCATGGTCTCCGGGTCCGAGGGGGCCATAGTGAAGAAGGAGCTGCTGTCCAAAGTGGCTGGGAAACGCAAGTACCGTGTCAATAACAAGCATGACCGGAAGTACTCTCCGAGGCCTCCCAGGAAAATTGTGCAGCAGGCGGAGGAGCTGGTGGGGCAGGAGATGTTCTACAAGCTGACCAGCGACAACTGTGAGCACTTCGTGAATGAGCTGCGCTACGGAGCCTCCCGCTGCGATCAGGTGCGTCCTCAGCCCATGTCCCTGTCCCCAGGAACCAGACCATTCCCTCCGCTGACAGTGGCTGCGCATCGTGTGGGCGGCCAGGGTGAAGGCAGAGACATAAATGAGACAAAATAGCAGGGACAGAATCCATGCCCTTGAGGGTGTGACAGTCGGGATAGAGATGAGATTGGGGAGAAGTGCCAGTTGCTATGCAGACTAGTGAAGTAGGGGGTGATGTCGCAGCCATGACAGTCACCCCCGGCCCCTCCCACAGCTCCAGAGGAGGGTTTACAGATGGGGAAACTGGGGCTCACGGTGCTTTACTAGCTCACCCAAACTCATTCCACCACTAGGCATTGAGTCTCTAGCACCTGACAGCCACGTGCAGAGGTGGGATTTGAACCCAGGTGCCTGATCCAGGAGGCATCACAGAAGAGGTGACGCCTGAGCTGAATCTCAGTTAATTGTTTTGATTAAATTGAAGCTGGAAAATGAGCTGGAGATGACCAGCGAGTAGGGGCGACAAGGACTACAGGCTGAGGGAGATTGAAAAGTGGGAGCCAGGAGGAGGAAGAGCCAGACAGACGTTTTCTGCGACAGGCCAGGGGGTGGGGGGGACACCTTTCTGGCTCTTTCCCACGTGGGCTCTGTCTCTCCACTTGACTTTGTAGCAGAAACGCAGTCGTGGACAATCCCTAATGGAGTGGGTGAGGCCATTCCTAAAAAAGTTTTTTATGAAAACAGTGGTGGGTATTAGAATTGCTAAAGGAGGAATGTATGAGGCCAAAAGGGGTAAATAATTATGAATTTATTTTTTATTTTTTTAACATAGTTTATTGATTTTTCCCAGAGCGGAAGGGAAAGGGGTAGAGAGTTAGAAACATCGATGAGAGAGAAACATCAAGGGCAAATAAGGTAAATGCCCTTGACCGGAATTGAACCTTGAACCCCTCAGGCTGACGCTCTATCCACTGAGGCAAACTGGTCAGGGCAAGAATTATGAATTTATTAGGTCACCTGGCGACCAGATGGGCTGAGCCCCCAAATGGGGCCAACACCTAGGGATGGGGGGTCAGAGGTTTTAACGGACTCCAAGCGGGCTTTTTCTGGGCAGAGATTTCTCTAGGTGGGTCCTGAGGGGAAAAGATAATGGTATTAGCAAGTGGAATGTGGTCTAAGCAAAAGGGAATTCGGTTGCGAAGGGGCCTAAAGGTCAGTGGCCAGCGGAGGGGATATCGATTCAATCATTTGATCAGACCTAGCAGTGGGCTCGATTGGGCCCCTGTGCGATAGTTTGCTGATTCCTGCTCTCTGATAATTTGAATCTTAAATTGATTGTTTCTTCTAGGCCTCTTGAGTCAAGATTGGTATATTTTCTCATGACCTGTGTAAGGTGAGAGAGGAAGATTGCCGGATTTTCATGACTTTCCTGGGTGACCTCTGCTCTTCCTAATATATAAAATCCCAGGGTCTGTAATGACCAAAGGCTCAACAGAATGCCAGGCTGTGCATGCAGCAGGCTCCAGTGGGCGGGGGCTGGCGAGCATGCTGAACTGTTGAGAGAGAGGCGGGGCTGATTAGTAGCTACCATGGCTGCTCACCAACAGCAGCGCCTCTCTTTCCGAGAGATCAGCACTTCAGTCTGCTCACCAGCAGTCTGGGGTGGCTGTTGATCTGCCCAGCCTCTCTGATCAGGCCCAGAGATAGCCCAGAGACGCTGACTGGCATAGAAACCAACCAATCAGAATGAAATCTGGGTGAACTGCGAGGAGCCAATGGCTGCCTAGGAGGCGGAGTTTCTGATGCTGACTGGCATAGAAACCGACCAATCAGAACCTAATCTGGGTGAATGGCGAAGGCAGAACCTAAGGTGGGGGCTGAGAAGGGGTTTTAAGGTAACAGCTGTTTGGTGTAAAGTGTAAGAATTTTAATGACTGGTTTGGCGGTATAGTGCATATGGCTGGCTATCAATCCAAATATGGAGATTATGTAGTTTTGTCTGCCAAGAGCATCTCCTCCTGCTGTAAAAGGCTTCCCCCACTTTTAAGCAATCCTATCCTATATAATCTATCTATACTAAAAAAAGGGTAATATACTAATTAGACTGGGTCGACCAGCCATCTTCTCCCCGCCCCTATTTAAGCAATCCTATCCTATATAACCTATCACAATATAGAAAAAGCCAGGTGCCGTCACAACCAAATGACCAGATGGATGACCAAACAGCAGACTAGGGGGCTGAGGGAGTTTGAGCTGTGGGCCCCCGGCCGCCCATGGCACGGTGGCAGGAGGAGGGAGCTGTAGGCCCAAATGACCAAAGGAGAAGTCTGGCTCTCACAGCGTGGCAGGGCAGGGCTGCAGAGGCTGACGTGGGGGCTGTGAGCATGGAGCTTCCCGGGGTGGCTGAGGCAGAAGAGTGTCATGGGGCAGGGGCTGTGAGTATGGAGCTTCGTGGGGCAGTGAGGCAGGGGAGTGTCGCTGCATGGGGGTGGCTGAGGCTGAGGAGCTGTGTGGGGTGGGGGCTGTTAGTGTGGAGCTTCCCGGGATGGCTGAGGTGGAGGAATATCGCGGGGCAGGGGCAGCGAGCATGGAGCTTTGTGGGGTGGCTGAGGCCAAGGAGCATTGTGGGGCAGGGGCGGCAAGCATGGAGTGTGGTGGGGCGGGGACTATGAGCATGGAGCTTCACAGGGCTGCTGAGGCAAAAGAGCACCGTGGGGCGTGGGCAGCAGAGGCCGAGGAGCCTTGCAGAGCAGGGGCTGTGAGCATGGAGGTTCACGAGGCAGGGGCCATGGAGGTGGCGGAGTGATGCTGGGCGGTGGACGTGGCCCTGATTCCAGTTAGGCCTAGGGATCCTAACTGCGCACAATTGAACGTGCACTGGACTTCTAGTCTATGCTAATAAAAGGGCAATGTGCTAATTAGACCGAGTCGACTGGCCATCTTCTGGATGTCCAACTTCCTTCCAGACAAAGCCATGGTGGTGAGGGCCAGGGCAGAGGCAGTTAGGGGTGATCAGGCTAACGGGAAGGGCAGTTGGGAGTGAAATCAGGCCAGCAGGGGAGGGCAGTTAGGAGTGATCAGGCAGGCAGAGGCAGTTAGGGGAGAGATCAGGCCAGCAGGGAAGAGCAGTTTGGGGGTGAGATCAGGCCTGCAGGTGAGGGCAATTGGGGGTGAGATCACGCTGGCAGGGGAGGGCAGTTAGGGGTGATCAGGCCTGCAGGCAGAGAGGTTAGGGGCAATCAGGAAGGCAGGCAGAGGGGTTAGGGGCATTCAGGCAGGCAGGTAGAAGCAGTTAGGGGCGATCAGGCAGGCAGGCAGGTGAGTGGTTAGGAGCCAGTGGTCCCAGATTGTGAGAGGGATGTCCAACTGCCAGTTTAGGCAGGATCAGGCCTAAACCAGCAGTCAGACATCCCCCAAGAGGTCCCTGATTGAAGAGGGTATAGGCTGAGCTGAGGAACACCTGCCCCCTCCCGTGCAGGAATTTTGTGCACTGGGCCATTAGTTTTTTATAATTAACTGCGTTGTGGGCTGCATTTCTCAATCCTTCTAGGCAGAGAACAGTATGGTCTTGAGACCTGAGACCTGCTTGCCCTTCCTGAGAGGTTTAAGTGGGTCCATATCAGGGACAGCACCCGCTCTGGCTGAGGGGGCAGGGGCCTGATTGTGGAGGGTATCTGTGTGGCCCTCCTGGGCATGAAGCCAGATTTGGCACCAGCAATTTCCCCAAGGGGACACTTTAAGGCTAGTGTGAGAGTGGGGGAGGAAGAGAGTGAAACCTGCTCGGGAGCAGGTGTGAGATGGGGAGGTGGCGGTGGGATCTGCTGGGTAGGGTGGAGGGCTCTCAGGCTGCTGAGATGGAGGAGCCCTAAGCTAGGGGACCGGGGATGGTCGGCTAGATCAAAAGTGGTGAAGGAGCAGGAGGATCTGAGATCCTCTGGGGGCTCAGAGTGAAGAAGGAAAATCGTGAGGGAGAGCAGCTGTGACAGAGAGAAGGCGGTGTCCCTGAGTGTAAGAAGCCTGGACATACAGGACCTCAGGCCACTTGCCCTGCTGTCCTTCTCCATCACAATGCAGGGTCAGGAGGGCCCGGCCTCTGCCTCCTCTCCTGTGGGAGCCTGGGAGCCTGGCTTCCATCCGTCCAGCTGGCTGACACCTGGTCCAACCGCACCGATGCTCACCGGCCCTTTGCAACTTCTCATTTCTAAAACTCTGTTGCGCACCCTTTAAAACACCCGTCACCTCTGTGCCAGTCAGAGTGGAGCTCAGGAAAGTCTGTTTATCGCTGACACGTGGGAGCGTGTCTGACTGTCTCTGAATGAAGTGGGCGGTGCGGGCTTTTCCTTCCCCAGCCGCTCACGTGGCGCCAAGTCACGATCTTCCACAGAAACCTGCTATGTGCTCTGTTTTGAGCATTTTCCCTTTCGGCAAAGGAGGCTTAGGTGGGCTTGTTAGGACACCAGGCGCCCTGGTCCCTGTCACTGGGCGTGGGGTGGCTTTGGGGTATTCTTTCCACGGTCCCCCCTCAGTCTTCTCCTCTGTACAGTGGGCATCCGACACGGGTATCAGTAGGGTCTGGGGCAGATGGAGACAATTGAGAGCCTGGGAAGTCCCGCCCAGTGTTGACGCCTGGAAGCAGCCGCTCTCGGGGTCTTCGCCCGCTTCCCCAGCACAGCGCTGTGGGCAGGGGTGGCTCACACGGCGCTGCCGAGTGCACGACCCTCAGGGACCATCCTGACGTCTCCTCCGCCTCATCCCTGCTGTCCGAGTGTCCGCTTCCTTGTCCAGAACCCTCCCCGGTCAGCGCAGAAGCAGGTGATGTCGCTCCATGAGCCGCTGCCCAGTCAAGACATGGGATCAGCAGCTCCTCCACCAGCGCCCACGCTGTGAATGGCCGGGCTCAGCTCCTGGGCCGCCCAGAACCATCCCGGCCCAGCCCTGGGTCGTGAGAGCTCACAGCGGGTTTCCCCAACTCTGCACGTGCTTCAGGCTCCCAGTGGCCAGCCCTAACCTATACCATCCGGGCATTGCCTGTGTCCTTCCCCCGGCACCCCCTGCGGCTCTCTGAGCCTTTCAGACCTACAAGGGCGCTGTCTCCCTCACACACACAGCTCCTTCCCCCTCCCGTTCTCTCCCCGCCTCTTCTCCGCTCTTCTGGTGGCCTGTTGCCCTGCAAACACCCGCTCCTTCTTGGTTCCGTTGGAGAGGGGGGGACCCGGGTCTCTCCTGAGTGATTCTTGGTGGGTGTGTCCGTGGCTAGGCCCCTGACGTGGAGTGTGACGCCATCTCTTGTGCTGCAGGTCACCGAAGCGCTCCTTGCCGCCTTGAGGGTAGTTGGCCTGATTATACTGGGCATGGCAGTCGGCATACAAGCTGGCGTGGCAGCGGGCATACCAGCTGGCGTGGCAACAGGCGCAGCAGTGGGCATACCAGTTGGCATGGCAGCAGGCATCATCGGAACGGGTGCGGTCATCATGGGCATCCACAGGACCCTGCAGAACTGAGGCGAGCACAAAAGCGGTGAGGTCAAGGGATCATGTTAGCGGCAGCCAGTTAGTAGGGAGACGACTTGCTTAGCTGCCGGGGTTCTTGTTCCAGCATTAGGAAGGGTTCAGCAACCTGGAGAAGGGCAGTGTGTAACTTAATCAAGGGCTGTGTGTAACTTAATCCAGAGATGAAGCATAATTTTGAAAGGCATTTAGGGATGAGAGGAGCCTAGCTAAAGAAACTAAGATCTCCTCTCAGGACCCCATGCTTTTTATTAACACAAATTGTCTGAGGCGAAGTGGAGATATACACTTCAAAGGGTCAGGTTTCCTATACACAATCCATTGTCACATGGGAAGAATTAGCCTATGGCTGTTCAGGTGTTTAGCCAGTAGGAGGCAGTAATATGCAGGTTAAGATGCCCTGAGCTGTCTGGCAGCAAACCATCAATTTAATGCATCCTTCTCAGGTTTGGGGAAATGCCCTTATCACCCCAGCTTCAGGCCGGCTGTGATGCTGGAATTAGCTTCAGGCACTTACAGCGGGGGTGGGGTTTACTTTATTGATTTCACTCTGTTTTACACTCATTTAGGCTAATTTATAAAGTATGTTTTTCTTGAATTTTCTTTTCTTTTCTTTCTTTTTTTAGAAATTGAGGAAGAGGCAAGGAATAGAGGGAAACAAAAATGGGAGAAATTCATCAGTAGCTGTCTCCTGCACGCTTCCTACTGGGGACCAAGCATCCGGGAATTGAACCTGAGACCCCTTGGTTCATGGATCAACACTCAAGCCACACGGGCCAGGCCAGTCAGCCTGCTTTTCATGGAGCTATAAAAGCACAGGAAGATTTAATTGGGGAAATACGGCTGGTGTGAATGCGATTAAAGACACAGTTGGGCTCTGTCTTGCACTGAATGCTTGTACCCTCTTTACCCCCTGTTCACATTGAAGCCCTAACCCCCAGTATGACGGTGTTCGGAGCTGGGCCTCTGGGAGGTCATGAGGCTCAGAGGAGGTCATGAGGTGGTGGCGAGGGTGCGGGGTGGGCATGATGGGATTGGTGCCCTTACAAGACAGACCAGAGCCCTCTCTCCTCCATGTGAGGACATAGCGAGAAGGTGGCCATTTGCAAGCCAGGAAGAGGTT